CAGCTCGGTAAATGCTGCAGAAGGACTTGTAATGTAAGACTGCCTAGGGGCCTGGGATTTAGCTCAGTGGCACCGTGTCTGCCTTGCAAGGGCAAGGTCTTGAGTTCGATTCCCGGTACAAAAAAAAAAAAAAGAAAAAAAAGACTGCCTAAAGCCAGTGAGCTAGCTGTGGGGCTTAAGTGGAGAGCTCTGGGACTCACTGGCATGAGGATGGTCTCCGAGGCTGTTGCAATGGATGACACTGGCTGGGTTGTTGGCAAAAGTTAAGTAGTGCAGGAGTGGACCGGGGGTTGGAGTACTTTTTCAGATGTTATGAGTTGGAAGTACCAGGGGGATATCATCTCAGAAAATAAAGGCTTAGCAAACTTTTGACTTTAAATTTAGTAAGTGATGCATGCATGTCCTTCTTTTCATTTTAGGACATGAAGGCAAGTGATACAGGGAGATTTATTACAGGACAGGAGTGTTTACAATTCCTTGTTTAAGGCTGGCAGAAAGAAACCCCATTTGGTGGCAAAGGATGATCTTCAATAAGATTCTCAAATCCAGAGCTTAGAGAATTCTAACATGCTCTACTCCCACTCCCAGGTGGGATCTCACGAATCAGTCTCCTTGGGAAAAACCCACAGAGAGGTCCCTATGGCAATGGCCCAAAAAAGCTTTAGGCTTCAGGCAGAGAAACTGCAAGGAAGCGAACTCTGCAAAAACTGGAATGAGTGAACAGGATGGAGAAGAATATGGACAGCCTATTTATATAAGGAGATTTTTTTACAGTAAATTCAGGAGTTTGGGTTATTATCTGTCTCCAAGAAGAGCATACGTGTAGTACGGTTGGAAGCCCTCTTCCAGGTAGGTGACTGCATCAAAATCTTCAGTCTGCATGGGCAAAGGAACAGTTTTTTGAGAATGTTGCTTGCTGATTCATTACTTACTGAGTTTTCCATTTGGTCATTTCAACTTTCATTCCCTAACTTACTTGTCTGTCTTTTGACAAAGGCACTCATAATTTGTACTTAGCCAAAGTTAGAGGCAACACTATTCTGATCGAAGCCTAATTCATTTCTCCCCAGTCCAAAATGTTATAAATTACAAATATGTTCAGGTTAGAATGGAACAATGAGCTCACTTTTTCTCTACCTATGGAATTTCTTATTGATTTCTTTTACAAACTGGTTCAAATGTGAGTCAAATAATGAAACTGTGGAAGACTTGGAGAAATACAAAGGCAAACAAAATTAATGGCTAGTATGATGGATCCTTTAATATTGAATTGCACTTAATATTAAGAAGAAATTATTAATATTAGACACACAAAACTACAAATACAGATATATAAATTTTTAATAAAAATTACATCCTCTGAATGAACCATCAAGCCCCTTAAATGTTTCTCTTTCAGCGGTATCTTCCATGGACGCTACAAGGAACTCACTGAAAGTCAGCCACTCTTTTGGAAGTCTCCATCATAGCTATGATCATAGCCACATCTTTGATTTCAGCCCTCAGAATGTCATCACTGATATAAAAATCATGAACACTAGATCAGGGCCTTGCCTTAGTGTTTGCTGCCATATCAAAGGTGCTATTTGTTTATTCTTTAAGTGTCCTTATTGTTCCCAACTCTTTTTGTCTATTTAACCCTTTTCCTCATAAGAGATCAAACTTGGAAATCTTCACACACCGACAATGCAGAATCTACTTACAGGCTGAAATAGACAGATGGAGACGGAGCTAATGCTACTCAACAGGATGTGTCCAGTGCTGGGTCTTCACAAGGAGAAAGCAGCTCACTGGTTAAATCATTAGATGAAAATCATATGCAAATTAGGAAAACAGATGTAATCCTAGAAAGTTTAGAGAGTTTAAATTCAATGAATGATAAACAGACATAATAATGACACTATTCATTTAAGGAAGAAGAAATAACTCATAGAAATAAATGCATAAGAGTTATATTAGCAATTGAAGTAGGGAACTGCCTTAAGCTTATAACAGGTGGAGAAAACATCAGACATTGAAGAGAGGAGAATCCCTTTGAACTACTTTTAGATGGTGACCTCAGTTGCTGGTAAAGTCAGGAGACAGTCTTAGCTTCAAGACAGCTGCTGCATGGCATCACCAATGGCATGAGACTGGGTCTGGGAATTGGTAAAATAGTAACAGCTAAACCAACAGATAAAAAATAGAAGTCATTAAGCCTACTCATCAATTATACAAGGAAGATACCTTCTTGTGGGAAATGGAAAGGCAAGAAGCTGTAGCTCACATCAATTTCAACAGCTCTGCCTTTAAATCTAGTTTATTTTTTAATAAAAATATTTCATTTTATTTATATATAATTGATGTTTCAAAATTACATACAATAATGGTACACAACACAGTGTCTTGATAGACACATAAATTGTGAGATGTTTTCTATAACCAAGTTAATTAATATATCTATCACCTCACATAGTTACCTATATTTCTTTTTGTGATATGAACACTTAAGATTTACTCTCAGTAAATTTCAAAAGTACAATAACTGTAGTCAGTTAACTGCATATTAGATCCCAAGACCGTAGGATTTAATCCTAGGGTAGTGTAAGCCTTAGTTCATGATACAGAACTACATTGGGAGATGGCTTCGTTCTCCCTAAGCCCTTCTCTCTAGCTGCACAAGATGCCACTCTCGGAAGATGAAACTGTACGATGAGGCTTTCAGTGTTCAAGTGCTGAAAAGAAAATCTCTCTCACTCAATTGTCAATTGCTTACAATTATACTGTATGAATACTGTGGCCTAAAGAAAAAAAGGTGAGAAACATTCTTCCTCTTTCATGCTGAAACTCCACTCATCAAGAAATTGTCTGCTTCCTTCAAAATAATAGGGATGGGGGACCTCAGGGCTCAGAAAACTACTTTGGAGCTCAGTGCGTATAGTTGGGTAGTATACAAGCTAGTCATCTGGAGAAGTATTAGGAACAAGAACCCCACTCCTTCGCCCAGGAAATCTACCAAGCTCTCATGCTGCTGCTGCTGCAGTCCGTGGACCACACGTTGCGGAAATCCCTGCAGACCAGTGCAAGGCTCCACTTCAGTGGGATTCTTTCCCATGGCCGGAGAGCACTGAGGCGCTTCTATGTGTGTTTCTTCTTGTAGTCCTTTTTGTGAGCCTTGTTGACTTCCACCTCTGTGCTGGATTGAAGAGCTCCCATTCCCATTTTCCAGAGGTTCTCTCTCATGCTGCTGTCTCTGAGATAGTGCATTTTATTCAAGAAAAGAGTATCTACACAAAGCTTTGAATATTGCTGTCTCTAAGAAGTAGGAAAGCAGATGCAGACATCCCACTCACTCGAGGTGAAATGACGGCACCCAGCGGCACTTGTTTCTCCCATTTGTCAATACTTCCTCACTTGGCAGAGACCTTCAGTGCTGTTTTGTTGTTGTTTTGCTGTTGTTTCCTTACCTGACCTGTACCAGTCATTGTGAAACTGGGGAAGATGTAATTAGACCTGGGTCCATGGATGATCTGAATCTCTCACTTGCTCAGAACACAACCCAGTACATGAGTGCTAGCTTTATGGATCTATCTATCTATATCTATCTATCTATCATCTATCTATCATCCATATCTATCTACTTATCTATCTACCCAAAATGGATTTCTCCGTGTTATCCGTGTTTGCCTTGAACTTGTGATCAGGCTTCTACCTCAGTCTACCCAGGAGTTTGGATTACAGGTGCACCCCACAATATTTAGCTATGTCACTTCTAGTGCTTTTGTAGAGAGGAGTCTTTCCCTCAAGATTTCCTTACATTTCTGAGGAAACAAAATGGGGTGTTGATATCTGTGGGTGCTAGGTATTATCCTAGGTCCTTATTTAAATTTTCTTACTCCTCACAATAATTATTATGAAATAGGCATTGTCATTCTCAATTTAAAAATGTAACTAACATACAGAGTGACTAAGTCAATTCATAAACTTTCATGGGCCAAAAGCAAATAAACTGAGATGTGAGATTCATTTGTCACAATTTTGCTGCATAATTTGTACCATTTCCTGATTGCTTCAATTGCAAATTATCTCAGGCTTATTGTGATTATACTTCCAACATCTTTTCTATTTTGAAAGGTAAGAAATCCCCAATTTGTATTAAATAATCATTTTATCCTTTCCTAAACACAGAGCCTAGAGAAGCCAGCGTCACCTTTTGTGTTTTTTTTCTCTTATTGCTCACTGCCAATCTAGATAAATTACACATGAAAATGCCTGTATTTCCCACAACAGTGGGTCAACAGTTCACTTGTCCCATGCTTAGAGCAAGTTCCTTAATTTATTTAAAATAATAACAGAAAACCGTGTAAAACACCAGTTCATATGTTAACAGCAAATTATTCTATTTGAGAAAAAAACTCTTTTAAAATGTTTCTTAAAAATCTGGCATCATTAGACCATAATACAAGTATGTATATGTTTCCATTTCCATTAAAAAGATTAGTAATTGCAAACCCCATTACTAATCAATAAGACCTTCCTTGAGACAGAGAGTGTTTTCAGCAAAGTGGTATTACACTTCTGCTCTGTGTTTGGTATCAAGGATACATTGGTGAACAAATCTAAAGATGTTATCTCCACCTTCATAAAATCTGAAGATGTGTGGCCAATCACTCTAATCTTCTAAGTGTCTGTATTAATTGTAGTTATAAAAAAAGTTACAGCAATCTTGTGAAAGCTTTGAATTTGCATGGAAATGCTAGTAAGGCCAACGCACTGATCCATACCAATATTACCTTTTAGCATCATAAATTCATGTTAACTGTGCAATTCAATCATAAAAGAAAGTTTTTTCATGGAGTTTTCTTTTTTAAGAAAAGGTTTCAATAGCGGTTCAAGTTCTAAGTAACAATGTTAATATTAAATCCAATAACATTAGTAGAAGAATAAACTGTTAAACATTTTGTACAATGCAATGTCTACTTTTGACTTAATTACAATATATGTTTAAAATTCAAAGTAAACAAAATCCTATTGCTTATTTGTGGATACAATTAAGTATGACAATTGCTTATCAGAAAGTTTTAACCATTACTTCAAAGTTAACTATTTTCCTAATCAAACTGTTTTGGTTGATTTTTCTCGGGTTTCAGATAGTACTCTGCTTTCTCTCTTAACACAACTCCATCTTTCAACTCTGCAGACAAAACAAAACAAAATTATTAGCGTGGAGACCATCAGGATGTCAACTAACTTTTACGAAGAATTTGTAAAGATGCATTAAAATCATTTGTTCTGACTTTCAAACAATGAAGCAGGCCAAAGAGATTAAAAACAGAACATTCTACAAGTGCTTGAAATATAGGACTATGAAAAAGAAATCAATTAAATATGGTCAATAAAATACTGGGATTATAATGTTTAAATGAGAACCATAAATAGACACATAAAATGCTTCTGTTTTTTTTCAACTACATGAGAATCACTCATTTCCTTAAATCAGAACATTACTTCCTTAGAGCAATGAAAGGAAAGAAAAAGAAACTGAACATAAACATCCGTATGGGAACAAAATTTATCTGATTCTCCATACTATATCTCTGATTTGTATCATCAAGCTTAATGCAAGAGATTTTGCATACATTGAAAGCGATAAAAGTGTATATTATTCGTGAAATAGGAATATATTTTACCCTGCCCACATTTTCATACAGAAAAGTAAATTTGTGCTTCACTCCTCCAGGAAAGAAGTATCAAGTTTTCTCTTCCTCTCCCTTCCCTTTCCCTGCTGAAACGGAACTGCTTACTTGAGGGGTAATGTTGGGAGAAAAAACTGATTCTGCTGAACTCAGCCCCTGTTGGTTTTGTCCGAGTCAACTTGGCAGCTGGAAGCCTGGGTTCTGTGCTGCTCTCTGCCCTCGCTTATGCAGGTAGGGGCTCTGCTACAAACCAGTCAGCCCTGATTAATGTACAAGATTAAGAGTTAACTTATCTGATCACAGATCAGAAGCCATTCTCTCCAATACATCTTTTCAGATAGAAAGTTAAAATTTTTAGTTCTCAAATTCAGAAGGAAACAAAAGTCAGTGTTACTTATTGGCTACGTTCTTGAAATGCTCAGTTTTCTGGCATTGGCAAAGTCCATTTCTTTAAGCATTCTGAAAAACTGTTAGGCAACTCCGAGCAAAAAGTTCAATAAATTGTCTGAGGTTAGGAAAAAGTGACAGAAACACTGTACTTTTATAAAAATATAAGCATAAATATCAAGAATATTTAGGTAAAAGATACAAATATAAAGTATAAGAAAAGGTGATTTTCTTCAGTATCATTTTCAATACCAGGTATCTTAATTCATCAAGAATTGATATGTAGAATTTATTATGCAAAATTAATCAAATCTTTGATGATTCATTTTATTATGGAAGAAAAACAACTATATTTTAAGTTGATCATTTTACCACAATCCATTTATTTTAGGTTTTTGTTATTGTTCTTTAAATGTTTCACTATAATCATCATACTCTTAAATTTTTATTTTCCTTCTACCAGCTCAAACTTTGTGTGTGCATGTGTGACAAATGTGTGTTAAGTATGTATATGTGTTTGTGCACACATGCATATATATAATAAGTACTAGCATTACATGCCCTGTTATATGGAGTGGCTTTGATTTTATACTGTCTAGAAGCAGAACTAAAAGCCAAGTAATTGTACCCACGTAACAAACATTTCCTTCCTCATACTGTGAAAACTATTGTTCCTCTTAGCCCTCAAGAACAAAATTTTAGTATTTCTTCATATGCATTTACTTGTAAAATGTATGTACATGTACACACATAAATGCATAGTCACATCCTCTCATTTCATGTGCACACACGTACAAATCTAGGGAATCTTCGCTCCCTTTCTCTGGCAAGGAGGCATCTAAAGGCACAAACAACTGTGAGAAAACGTCCATTAAAAGCTGATTGCAAATAATAATTTCCTTTTCAAATGAAGATTTACACATACAAATGTAAAGGCTTAATCTATAGTTTCTTGATCAACTGTAGTTTAAAATGTCAAACTTGTTAAAATTAAAATATGTCGTCTGGACTTCTAATTTTTCTGCCTGGGTGATCCACAACCTCACCAACTACATTCAACACTGAGCTCTCACATCTATCTATTTTCAGAACTCTATATCTTGCTGTCTGCTGGACATCTCTAACATGTCTAAAATTGAATATCCAAAATCAACATGCCACAAAATGGGCTTAGTATCTTTTTCCTCCTACTTGGTCACTCTCTCCTGTTCCCTGTCTCAGTAAGGGTTCCTCCACTCAAATCAGAAACACTTTTATTCTCAATACTTTCTTCTTTCTACTTCACCCTTTTCATCATGTCCTACTAGCTATCAAACTTTAATGTCCTAAAGAATTTTGTCTTTATATAGACCATCAGTTCTTACTAGATTTTGACAGCAGTTTCTTGATTTATCTCATTTATTCTTCCTGTAGCTCCTACCCATCCACTTTCCACTCTAATATACAAGTCATCTTTCTAATATACAAATCACATCATAACTCTCCAAGAATCGTAGTGAGCATCCCATTAGTGATATCACCCTAAAGCAGACAGATTAGATAATTTGGTGACTTAAGGACATGAAGACTCTTGGTTTCCTATTTGGTGATTTTCAGATTATACCGCAATGTGAAGTCCTAAAACAAGAGAGGAGAAGGAAGATTAGTATATGAAATATTCTTACAATGCATGTTTTGGTTTAAAAATGAAAACTGGATGCTGCCTTTCTCTGTTTAGTGGAAAGAGGCGTTAGTTGAGGTTCTCCTGAGTCAGCAGTTGTGCAATATTGTCCTGACAAATTCAAGCCCCAGTTTCTGCAACAGTGCTGTAATTTTCGCTTTTATCTTCACTTCACCAAAAAAAACTGCTACTTCATTCAACTTCACATGTCATAATTGCTGGAAGAAAGGAGGCCTAGGAACTCTCTTTCCTAACATCCTGTGCTTTTCTTGCAAAGCAGCATTCAGAGGGCAAATATGCTGAGGCTGGGTCCTGCAACAGTCACTCTTCCAACATGAAGCTGCTCTGAGCAGCAGAATGAGGCAGAGGAAGCAGGTTAGTGAGAGGACACCAACATCCTTGTCCCCAGTCAGGCTTCTTGCAGTTTCAGCAAACTGCAAGTTCTACCAACAGCGAAGACTACACATCCTATTTCTTGTTTAACTATGGCCTAATAGTTTATTCTCCAACACCAATATCCATTGATCTTTTATTCCAGTGCCCACCAAGGGTGAAAGTCAAATATTATATGCTAACCCCAGTGATTTAAGGTTTTCTATCCAACTCATGCAGCATGCCTTAGATACATTTCAACCCTGACTGCTGCTTTATTCTTCTTTGCCCCGATCTTGTGAAATAATTTCTGTACGCCATCACTTTTAATCTGCCTGTTTAAGAATGTGCATCTATGCATTTATTTGATCATTTTCTTCATTGTTTTTCACCAAATAACTTATAGGAAGAGAGGAATTACTAGTGCATGACTTTGTTCTTATTGAAAATTCTATACTACTGTTACAAATACCTTCTGTGAGCCCCTTGTATTTACCAATTGTTTTCCTTTTATTTGCTACACGATGCACCCAATATTCAGTCCTGGGTAAAGTCACGAATACTTCTCTAGATTTCCATGGACCCAAGGCATGTTTACTTGACTATTTTAACTTTTAAAAAATTTTATGTCTATGTATGTTTTATTTTTCTAAAATAAATTGGATTTCTAGTATAAACCAGATTATTTAAAAAATTAACATGTGCAGCAAGTAATTCCACATCTCTTATGTAAATGCCTCACCTCATTGCTAAGTATTGTTTTATTACTTACATCTGTCTCTCCTGAAAGCTGTAGCTTACTGTGTCTCTAACATTCCCCTTCTCCTGTGCCAGGATTAAGGCAGTGGTCTTTCAGGAGGGGAGCCAGGGGAATAAGAGAAATGGGACAGAGTTAGATTGAGGGTTAGGGATTCTCTTCATGTATTCATTTGCTGATGGACACTTGAGTCATTAATACATCATGGCTATTGTGATGCCACTGCACTGAATATGGAGAAGCATGTATCTCTGGAATCTCAATTAAAGCTCTTTTGGATATACAGAACTTTCACACAGTTTCCACAGTGGCTCCACCAACTGTGCACAACTCTTTCATCTTCTCCACTGCCTTGGAAATACTAATCTTTTGTTTTTATTTTTGTTAAAAGCCATTGTAACAGATATGAAGAGACTTTCATTGTGGAGATGATTTGAGTTGTATCTACATGATGGCTGTTGATGACAGATGCCTTTTCATGTACCTGGGGAGGACCACTATGACTTCATTGGAACAAAGTCTATTCAAGTCCTGCCATCTCCCTTGCCTTGGTTGAAATTTCAGTATTTTCTCAAACTTCAGTTTCAAGGTAATGATCATACTGAAGAAAATTGTGAATCTAAGTTAGCTACTTTGTCTACTTAGGATAACTCACCCAGTTCCTCGGAGTGAATCTTCACTGCAGCTCACCGAACTTCTGATTTGATTTCATATGAACTGCTCTTGCTGCATCACCCTTCAACACCCTCTTCATTGTTTGGTCATAACCCTCAAGTCTCAAAGCCTTTTGTTTCCAGACACTTAGATTCTCTTCTTCACTGAGATCAGGGGGGTTTCTATGAGCTCCTTCAACTGTCATTCTCTCCAGGTCAGAGTTGTTTTCTCTTCTCTTATCCATTTAAATCTTCAAAGGACACACTGACCTCTGACAATATTGTACCTTTGCTTGTATGCTTAGCACCACCTAACCCTACCACTTTCAGTTTGTTGCTGAATTGGGTTTCAGTCACAACTGTACATTGACTTTTTGATACACCAACAAGAAAAGCATACATGTAAATATTTTGGAGTGTGTGTGTGTGTGTGTGTGTGTATATATATATATATATGAATGAAGGAGTGGATATCATTCTTGCCCCTTGCCTACCATCTCTTTGTGCACCATAGATATTTGAGGAACAGCATGAAAGTGTGCCCTGCTCCCCATTAGCTGATGTTCCTAAACAGAACTTTCAGTTCAGGGTTTCAGCTCGACAGTATTGGCACCAGCCAGCACTGAGGCAAAAGTTCATTGGATCCAACTCTACCCATTCTTCTCAGTCATATTTTCTGGACTAGGATGAGGCAATAAATTGTAGGCAGAAAGGGGTAATCTAGGAGGAATGTTGTCACCATTAGCGAAGTCTGAGCTGTAGATAGTGCCAAGATAAACCATGTTTAGTGTCTTGGCCATAGATTTATCACAAAACTTTTGCCATTTTCAAGACTCTTGAGGGTGGGGTTGGTGAATTTTTAATTTATTTATTTACGTTTAAAATTAAACAAATCACTGATATAAGTATATGTGGTTACATTAATTACATACATTGAGGTTTTTCTTCAAAGTGTATTTAAGAAACTCTAATTCTTTTTTTTTTAAATTCTTTTATTGGTACATTTTAGGTACACAATACATTTACATTTATTATTGTGTGTTTGTACCTGTACATGATGTATCTTGGTTCTTATTTTTTCCCCATTTCCTGTGCGCCCTTCACCACCTCCACCCTTCCCTATTTACATAGATTTTGTTTCCATTTTTTCCTTTTCTCATAATTTTTCCTTTCCCTTCTTTCCTTTCCCCTTCCCCTCCCATCACCCCTACACTGTTGGAGCTTTTCCTATTTCAAATTATCAATTATTCATTTAATCCTTATTTACACTTTCAGTTTCTCACACTAGAGAAACTATTTGGTATTATACATGTGAGCCCTATTTATTTCACTTAAGAGTATGGCCTCAATATGCATCCATTTAGCTATAAATGTCTCTAGTTTCTCATTGTTTATGGCTGAGTAGTACTCCATTTAATAAAAAAACACATCTTTATCCAGTTTCCAGTTGATGGGCACTTGGGCTGTTTCCCAGCTTTAGCTATTACAAACTGTGCAGCTGTAAACATGGGTGCACATATATCACTGTAGTAGGATTCTTTTAATTCTTTGGGGAAGATACCCAGCAGGGGGATAGCTGGGTCAAATGGGACCCCTAGCCCTAGTTCTTTGAGGTATCTCCATACTGATTTCCACAGTGGTTCCACCAGTCTGCACTCCCACCAACAATGGAGAAGGGTTCCTTTCTCCCCACACCCCGCCAGCATTTGTTATTGGTTGATTTCTTGATAGCAGCCATTCTTTCTGGGGTGAGGTGGAATCTCAGTGTTGTTTTCATCTGCATCTCTCGAATGACCAGTGATGTTGAACATTTTTTCATATATTTATTTGCTGCTTTTACTTCTTTGTCTGAGAAATGTCTGTTCATTTCAGATGCTCATTTTTGAATTGGGTCTTTGAATTTGGGGGGTCTGATTTTTTCAATTCTTTATATATTCTAGTTAGTAGACCTTTATCTGAGGTACAGCTGCTAAAATTTTTTTCCCAGATTGTAGGTTGTCTCTTAGCTCCGTTGGTAGTTTCTCTTGTCAGTGCAGAAGCTTTTTAAAAAGATGAGATCCCTGTTGTTGATTCTTTGTGCTAGTTCCCATGCTACTGAGGTTTTGTTCATAAAGTCTTTTCCTATGCCAGTGTCAAGAGTTCTGCCTAACTTATCTTCCAGCAAGTTTAGTGAAGAAATTCTAATTCTTAATAATTTTACTTAAGTAGGAATATATGAATAGCTCTTAAGAAAAAGAATCTTAAGAAATCAAGGAAAACTGGGAGATTGTTTTATATGTGTGCAACATTTCCTTTGTAGTTTAAATTTTATAAAGAAAAGGTACTGTGTTTTATATGTGTTTAATTTAAACATTCCTGAACTGCAGAAATTATCTACAACGTTGATCTATATCCTATCCCTGGAAATAAAACCAAGTTAGTTTTCTTTTTTTCACAAAGAGCAAAGGTTTCAGAATCAAGTTTGTCTTCAAGCAGCAGCAAGAGCTTGCTGACAAGATATTTTGGAACAACTTGCTATTAGGAAGGAAGTCTGAGTGGGAGGATGAGAAATAGCTCATGCCCATATGACACATTCGAGTTGTGAATGTGTTAGAAGCCCATGAGGTAGAACATAAAAGAGTTTAACAATTTATCTTAGTGACATGAAGGACCTTATTCTAATCGTTTGTTTTTAAAGCTCTATTCTGATTCACATTTTCTTTCCCTTTCTATTTTGCTTTCACTTACTTCAATCAGCTCAAATCCTGATGGTTATGAAAATTACAATTTATAACCTCATGAGGAAATGTAGAACCTGTCAAAATATCTTGGATAAACTGCATGGACTTTCATGTCAAAGCTATTTGTCCTTTTTACACTAGACCAATATGCCAAAATCATCGCTGCATGAAAAATATTAGTGAATTTTGTCCTCTTTTTATCTAATAATAATTTATGCTTTTAGAGTTACTTTACAACTATCATATTGGCTTTCTCTGCAAACTTCTCTGCATTCCACAGAAATTGGTAGCAAAAAGACACTGTCAAATTATTATCTTAGAACAAAAGATAATCAAGTGATTCTTTTCCGACAATACAGTACACAGAAATGGGAAATCCATCCAATAATTTGTTCAACAAATTGAGCTTCTGTAATCTTCAAAACTCTTTGACAGGTGCCTGAGAAATTCAAAGATGAAGATCATGACATTCCTGCTCTTGAGGAGTTTGTAGTCTACCTTGGTGGAAAAAAATCTATAAAATCGCAGTTTCATCCCCCTAGATTTCCAGCACACACACTTTACAACCAAATAGGCTCTGTCCTTTGAGTTCCATTAGTCTAAATCTTTCTAACGAACAAATTTTATCAATCATGTATTTATTTACACAAATCATTGCACAGTGTAAGATTTTTGTGTTCCATTAGGGAAGGAATAATACCTTATCGTTGGCTCTCTTGAAATACATTGGATGGATTAGTAATAGAGTATGAAAGTTCCGAGACATGTTTCACCAGGCAGTTTGGAGGATATTCCAGATGAGTGGTGTTTTTAGTTAACAGTTGTGGGAAAAAAGAACGTGGAAGATAACTTCCACCCGGAGGCCACACTGGCATGTTTATTGGGAGGCAGCAAATTAATTATAGATGAATTATTATCTTTTGATTTGGAACATTAAGATGTTTACTGCACTAAGTTTTAAATTTTAAATTGCCAAATGAGCCAATGAAAAAGAAGATATTCATGATCTATTTTTAATTTCATCATACAGATTAAAACATTAGCATTTTAAAAAATTATGCTACTTGTTTGAGGTACATGTTTATTCTATCTCAAACCTTCGTAGAATAAAACAACCACTGGTTTATTTTGTTTCTGATGTGGCACGTCATGAATTCAGGCAGAGTACAGCAAATACAAGTTTTCTCTTTGACCCATTGCCTTTGCCATGCAGGGTCGAGCACACAGCTGGAGAAGGCTGTGATGGTTTGTGCTGCACTGATTCTGCAAGGTCAGCTGAATTTCAGGTTGTTCTCCACTCTGTTGCAGGCATTGCCTGGTGGGATGGTGGGATGAGGTGCTGGGACAGCAGGGAGCCTGCTGGTCACCTCTGATTCTCCATTTGGCTTCTCCATGTGGACTTTGGGTGTTTCACAGGCAGAATTATCCCAAGGCAGTGATAGAGGCAATATCCAGGCAACTTCAGTAGATGCGCCATTCCAGAGTGAGGTGGCTTTGGGCTGTGAGCTGAGGCCACTGGTCCAGAGCAGTTCGGATCCTGCTTGGCGCTGGGCATGCCAGTTCTCGGACCAAGGCCACTTGTGCTTCCAGGAGGGTTGGTTACCTGTGACTCCTAAATCCGCTCTCCAGTCCTTGGCTCCACCTCTGATTCACCCTTTCTTTTCCATAGGAAACGACCCATGTTTGCCGCCAATTAACTTGATCAGCCTGGTTTGGGCTCATAGCAAGTTGGGAAAATCTGTGATAATTTCTATTGAAAATTTTTATTTCAAATGAGATTTTATTTTATTTCAGAAAACTTTGGGGGGGAAATTGAGTCCCATTTAATATAATTTCTTAGCGTTTCCACCAATACAAAGTCTTAAAAGTAGGTGTCTAAAGACACGATAGCTTTCTGCAGGTGTCATTGA